TGTCTGGCATTACATTTGGAAAACAATTCATGGTGGATGCCTATGATTCTAGTCATCCAACAAGTTCAACGGCTGCAATTTTTCTTTCATATCTAGAGTGAGAATGATCACCAGGTCCTCGTTAGAGCCAGGCAGCTGCCCTGGGAACTTTTGGAGATGCCTCAGATCATTAGAGTCACCCCCAGGTGCTGGGCATTCTTAATCATCCTGTTTTACATAAGTGGCTACACAGCTAAATCCTATCAGCTGGAAAGGGCTGGAATAGAAACCCAACTTGGATATACAATTTTAAAGGCTATAGAAACCTATAAACAACTATGCTGTTCCAAAAGTGGTAACATCCCCACAGGACCAGACACAGTACTCGGTTCTGTGGAGCAGTCCAGATTCTCGGTGGCATCTCTCTCTGGTGCCAGAAGCCTAGGTGCTAAAGCTCCCTGGGAGGGGGTGGGGCTAGCAATTCCAGGCAGTAGGAAGCAACATTAGGAGAAAAAAATCAAAGCCACACACTGCAGAATTTTGGAGTATCAGGTAAAATTCTCCTGGGCTAGACATATCTGAGATGGTCTCTGCATCGAATATGTCAGTCCTCAGCGCCCCCTGGACTCCAGGGATTTTCCTCGCTTTCAGTGGATGACTGATCTGTGTCTGGACACTGTAGTGTTCAAACTTCCCTTCAGAGTGACAATGAGATGTAACAAAGTTAATTCTGATAGAGACTTGAGGGGTTATCTATCCCAAGTCCTTCCATGTATGCTTTACACATTTACCGTGGATAATGCCAGAGGCACTTGGAGATGTTCTCTTGTTTCAGAGAAAGGTCATCTTATCACTATACTGAGTTATTTTCCTCAATTGAAAAATCCAGAAAAAAATCTTAAAACTGTTGTGTACATCCACTGAGAACTTCCATCAAATCTTGTCTTTCATGCTCGGCTCCATCTGCAGTCCCCCCTTTTGGGGGGTGTAGGAGGAGGGGTTCCAGAGCAGAGTAAAAACATTTCTGTAATGTTGAGAAGAGAAGGCTGTGGCTGGCCTATCCTGCTTCCTTTCCTGGACCCCCCAGCGTCTCTGCCATGTTCAAGGCCAGCAGCCATCCATCTTGTTTACCAGGCTCCTTATCGACCTAACCCATTGCAGTCAGAGCTAAGCCGATCCTTTTACCTGCTGGCTGCTGATGGGGGACACATGGCTTGTGGAGAACTACCTGCCACGCAGTGAGGATCTATGCTTTCCCTTTCAGGTGCCCTGCAGCTGAGAGTAGCAGTGTGTCAGATATACTACTGCTGTCTTGGGATCTCATGCCGTTCTCTCTCTTAGGGAGAGCAAACATCTGTGTACTCTGTGGCTACCATGGGGCAACGAACAGGGAGCAGGTGGGGATGTCTGCAGAAAGTGGAAGAAGTCATTGCTCTTCTTTTGTAGTCAAAAGGAGCAGCCAGATCTGCTCACTTACACTGTTCTTCCTCTTTCAGGACTCTCAAGTCACCAAGATAGCCCATCTCTGGACTTTCACCCCCATATGCCACTACTCCTTTTTAGGAACCAAACCGCTGGTTTGGAGAGCATGGTAGGTTCCCATAGCAATGGGCCTTTTAGCTGTTTCCATGGCAACCAACACCCAGACCATTTAGTTGTTAGTCACCTGACATCTTTAACTGAGTAGCATTCTGTTCAGAATCTCAGAGACAGGCCAGGGGATTCTCTTCATTGAAAAAAAGACACATCCGCCCAAAATGACTCAAATTCTCCAAAGATTCTTTTAGGTCACATCTGTGGAGACCGAGTGGCCTTCCTACCTCAGTTCACACACACTCTTCTCAACTGAGTATCTCAGGCCTTTAAATCTCCCAAACTCTATTCGCTGTGGTGTTTCCTCCCCACAGGTCCTTGGGAAAAAACTTATTCAAGGTGACTGTCATTGTCCTTACACATCATTCTTTCCTCTGAGTCACTGCTCTTCCTAAATACCTTCCTTGGTATATATCATAACAACCCAGTCATTTAAGCAGTATTTGGCTTTTGGATTACTTGAAATGAATGGCTAATCCCTGATGCTCTCCCTTTACCGTGGGCCTCACCTGTGTCAAGGACATCACCTATGCCAAGCCACCTTCCTATGACTGTGAGTGTTCTCAGAGAGCGAACTGCTAACCTTTGCAAAGCACAATTAAGGTCAACCTGTCTTTAAAAAAAAAAAAAATCCACTAAAAATTCAAAACCAAACATAGAGGAGTGGAAAGTATTCAATGCTTACTACTTTTCATGAGCCTGAAGATTTGACAAACATCATACCTCCATCCAACAGTTTCCCAAATGGAAGATATGGGGTATGGTTCCTATATTCTGTAAGCAGAGGTGGCCCTTCGAATTTTCTTAACAATGGGAGCCTGAGATTTTTCTGCCCTGGAATTCACACAGGAGAAGAGCTACATCTAAGCCTCTGTGGCTTGTTCAGTAGACTAGAAAAGTATGAGACTATCATTGGAAAGAGCATGACCTTTTTTATATAGCCTAAGATTCAGTGCTTCCCAGTGTTTTCATGACTCGGGGGGCGCCTGTGAACTGTCTGTACAAAAGACGACCTTTCAAACTAATCCCCCCACAGGAACCCTACCTAGCTCACTGCTGCAGCCTCTGTGGAGCCTCACAATGACTGGTAAACAGTTATAAGCTGTTGCCTTGCCCTTCTGCTCTGACTGAAGGGTACACACCAATTTAACTGCTTTTCTTTACTGTATTCCTTCATCATCTGAGGGTAGGAGGATGAAATAGGGGAGCAGATGCATGAGAAATGACCTTTTCCAGGTACCTTAAAAAAGTGCCCAGCACAGAGGGTAACTGCACATTCCTTAGGTGACATATGGGATTTAGTCTGATTTTCTTCTTTGTAGACAAGAAACAATGTGTCTCCTACAAGAATAGCTAACATTTCTTTTGTATACTGTTTTACATGATCATCTCATTTAATCCTCATAGCCTCACTACTTTTATCCCTATTTAATTAAAAAAAAAAATGGGGGCCCTCCCCGGTGGTGCAATGGGTAAGCATGCAACACTGCAAACTAGCAGCAACCGCTACAGTGTGAGTTCGATCCCCAGCCCTGGAGGTGATCCACATGGCACAGCAGACCTCTCCTGACCCACTGCTCCCCTTAGCAGTATATTTCATCAGTCGGCCTGTTCTACTCCCTACTGTCTCTGGTGAATTCTTTCACTACCTCTGCACCTCTGGCTTGTATAAATAAATAAATTTCTGTATGTGTAAATAAACAAGTCTTTAAAAAATTAAAAGTGGAAGCACAGAGAGGTTAAGGGATTTAAAGATCAAATTGGTAGTCTTATTAACCAGTGAAGTCAGGAACCAACTACCTGCAGTTTAAAGCCAGAGACTATAGCAGCTAACCACCTTTGGAATTCACACAGGGATTCAGCATAGGAATATAGGTTGCTGTCCTTTTTTTTTTATTATTTATTTTTTATTTTTATTTTTTAATTTTTTAAAAAAGATTTATTTATTTACTCATACAGAACTGGGGTACAGACCAGAGATACAGAGGGTGAGAGAATTCACCAGGAACAGAGTGGGGAGCAGAACAGGCAGATCGAGGAAGTATACTATTGAGGGGAGCAGCGGGCGGGTCAGGAGAGGTCTGCCACACCATGTGGTCTCCTCCGGGGCAGGCTGGGATCTGCAGGGATCAAACTCATTCTCATTCAGAAGTGGCTTAAGCTTCTTAGTGCAGTGCTTTAACCCTCTGTGCCACCAGGGAGGGCCAGGTTGCTGTCCTTTTAAAGGTAATGTGGTAGGGGGCCCACCCTACCACAGGTGGCACAGCAGGTTAAATCACAGCACTAAGAAGCTAAAGCCACTTCAGTGGGGGTTCGATCCCCACCCCAGAGGTGACCCACATGGCACGGCCGACCTCTCCTGATCTGCCCACTGCTCCCCTCAGCAGCGTACTTTGTCATTCAGCCTGTTCTGCTCCCCACTCTGACTCTGGTGAATCTTCTCACCACCCCTGCACCTCTGGCCTGTACTCAGTATACTGTATACATAAATAAATATACTGTATAAATAAATAAGTATACTGTATACATAAATAAATAAATCTTAAAAGAAAAAAGGTAATGTGGTAGGATCATAAAAGATCTAAGCCAAAGAGTACAGTGCTTGAATGGCTCCTGGAATTAACAATCTTGGCTACTGGCAACTTTATTCCTGATCTATTGCTGTCCCCTGGTGGTTTTCCTGGGAAACACAAGCCAAAAAAACCCAAGGGAGTAGTGAAGTTATTGTGATAAAAAGAAATGAGGGCCAAATAACTCATTTGGTACAAGAGCACCTCAACCTAAAATAGATGGCTTAGCAAGGTCCATATTACCTAACTCATCTGTGGACAGTTTTGTAATATCTAAGATAGATACAAGCTGATCAATAGTACACTGAGTCCAAACAGCAACAGCTGTGTCCTGTGATGATATGTGTACTTCAGGAATAGGATTTAAATTTTAATTCTTACTTGCAACAGGTTCACATTTCATCTTCAAGCTTCTAGGCTTTCATGATGACAGAGGATTCCCAAGAAACACTATCCTTCACTGCCAACTTACAACCTTTACACACCCCTCCCCTAAATTCAGTACTCTCGACTTTTCAGATGCTGTTACTCAACTAGGTTATGTTTGCTTTCACTGCTTCTCTCAAGCATGCCTGATGGTATGGGGCTGCAAAACAGTGGTACTGTATGGAAAGTAGGTAATCTCAAAATGGGCAAAGGGGAGAACAAGCAGTTTCTGTGTCACGTCTTTACTTCACACTAGGGACCACTGGGATGGGTATCCAACCTCCATGTATCGAGGCGAGGCATATTCTGTCTGAAGAAGCTGGTAACTGCAGCCACTAAATTTTTATTTATTCAAAGGGACATTTCCAAGTGCATGATGAAGTCACAAGTGGATGCTGTCAAATAAAAAAAAAAATCAAGCATTATCAAGCATTTGCTAACCAAGTGCTGCATTTAATGAAAAACCCTTAACACAAAAAGGAGACAGGAGACAACTACAGAGAACCAGCCATCCAGAGGTGAATTTCTGTCACGGGACACCTCCCCTCTGCTGAGACGCTGGAGCTCACTCAGTTCCCTGCGGAAGCAGTGGAGTCGGAGGTGCTGTCAAGTGTCCGCAGGTGTGTGGGCCAGACATAGTCAACTCAATGAGGCACTTAGAGTGAGGAGCCAGCAGATGCAATATCCCGCTAAATGGATGTGGCCTGGAACCCGCCTCCGCTGCCAGGGTCATAGCCTGGGACAGTGATCCAGTATACCTCAGCAGCCTCATTCGGGTCCTGTCTGGTTACACCCTCCTGATCAAAACCGCAGAAGACAGTGAAATAAATCCCGAGTCGCACTCTCTTCTTTCCTTCAACCCCTTTACAAAGGATATTACAAGGGCTGGTTCTGAGCTCTCAGGAAACAGGGTCTTGGACACTTTTGGAGGTTGAGTGGCACAGAGCAGTAGCCCAGAAATTCCTTTAATCTTATGGCACTGGTTTACTCTTTTAGATAGCTCCTCCTCTCCCTACTTGCACTCTGACCCTCGACAGACATACTGGCAATCAAACAGTTCTAGCTCTCAATCTCCACTGGGATTTCCCAGCAGAAGAGACGATGGCCACCGTCAGCCTGAAGTTCCCATTTCACCACCAGTTTAATCTGGAAAAAAAGGAAAATAAAAGGGAAAAAAATGAAACTAGAACCTCACCTCAACAGCAACTGATTTAACTATGAATCCTAGATGTAAACGCTAACGAACTACCTAACTCCTCATACTTTTCTTCTGAAATCATTAAGGCTGCTTGGGATGTGAGCACAGACTATGCCCTTAACTTAGAAAATTGAATCAAACACCTGTGATTTGGTATTAGCTGAACCACATACTAACCTAGTCAACGAAGCAAATACAATTTCTAAAGCAACTCTTCCCCTCTGTATCCGTGATACATAAGTGAAGCTTTATATGAAGATAATTTTATATTTAAACAATTTCTCCAGTATTTGCAATCTGACTCAGTCTTTTCTAACTGCAACCCAAAGAGAACAAAATAAAGTTAGATTCGTAGGTAGAAGGAAACTTACCTGCTAGCTAGTAATGGAAATGTCATAGCTAAAAGGCTGTTTAAAGAAGTTCATGATTATATGAGTTTCAGGGACAATAACTGTTTTTAGTAACCATTTTAGTTAACTCTATTACACTTTTTAAAGTATGTGTACTTCATTAGCGATCTTTGCCTTAACTTGTTTACACTCATAAGCTGTCCCTGCTAAGTCTTAATAAATCACTGACACTTTGCCAATCCTTTCTTAAGTGGACATTAGGTTTTTGTTATTATTCTCTTATGTACTTAAATGTCTGTTCACAATGCAACATTTAAGAGCTCTATCTCACAAGTGTTTGGTAGAAAGAGAAGTGGGTATGGGGGGTCAGAAGTGAGGCAGGGGTTGGAGGCGTGTGGAGGAGAAAAAGAAAAGTGGAAAAGTTACTTGTACTATGGAGCTAGCAAACTACCACTCTCTTGGAAACTCCGAATTTTCCGACAACAATGCTATGACAACTTGAAATCTTGAACTACTTGATGACCAGCTAAAATCTTTCAACACTGCACAGGTTTTGGAATGGCAAGATCTGGTTCTAAGTCTGGGCTATGATAATGTCTTAGTGGAGTGGACTCTGTTCACAGTGCAGAGTATGGAGGCGCTATTTCTTCACTGGTGAGCCATGGATAACATCACCCCTCCAAAAGGTAGTCATGAGAATCAAGTGAAACACAGTAATGCCTCACTTAACAACAGAGATTCACTGTGAGAAATGAGTTGTTCAGTGATTTTGCCGTTGTGTGAGCATGTACGTTGACAGTGTGTGCTTACTGATATGCTTGAGGGCCTTGTGGTTCTCACTGTACCAGCCACAGAGGGTTTTAATTTGTGACCCGCAAAACTGCCCTCAAGCAAGACTATTACTGTGCTTACCAACCTTGAGGTCTGGCACTGACTTACTTCCTTAAGGCTGAAAGTCTTTTTAGGCCTCATTTCCAGAATAGGGAGCTTTTCATTCATATTAAAGATTTGCTCTGGGAAGTAAATTCTAGGTAAGTCAGCTTATCTAGAATTTCCAAAAATTGTTCAGTTGTCCTATGCTACTGCCTTTTCACTTTATGTACGGAATAATGATTCCTGCATTATTTAAACCACCCAGAGCTAGCAGTAAATTCAACATCATAGTTGTGTCCACTCTTTTAGCATTGCAAATGTTTTGCTTTGATTGTGATCATCAAAGGGCTGAGACAGATACACTTCTGTGACTGGTTTTCCATCTAGGTCATCAGAAGTTTCTCCATATCTGATTTAGTTTTTGCTAATCTCATTGCCTTCAATGAAACAGAGCCTTAGACAGTTTCTATCACTTTGTTCTTCAACATGGTAGCAATGTGGAATGGGACATGCCTGACTGATGAGCAAAAACCATCACTGATTTTCCACTTTTACAGTTCTCAATCACTTGTAATTTCATTTCCAGGTCAATGACTGGAGTCAGCCTCTTACTGGCAGCATTAGCCATGGATTTTATATATTTAGGGCCACAATGAAAAAATCCAAGATTCAATCAAGAACAAGGGGCATTATATGATGCCACCAAGAGAGGCTGTGAACATGAGAGGCATGCAAAGTGCTGTGACCTGCGGAAGGCTATGCTGTCATTTACAACAGGAATTTGAGAGCTGCTGTCCTGTATGTGGTCCGCTGTTGCCTGAAATGTCATTGTGTGGTGCATGACTGCACCGGATGTAAAAAACAGCACCATGTGGCCCCAGCTCACAAAAGACAGAGCAAAAGACAGAGAATGAAGGCACACAATGAAAAATACTGTCCCACCTTATGATTCCTAACACTCAAATTTATCTCCTCTACCTCAGGCTTTTGATTCATCATTACACAGCTGGACTCCAACTCTAATTGTTGCTTCTGGTCTCCCCTCCTCAGATATCTAATCTGGTCACAAGGCCTCCAGAGTACTCTTCAACAATGCACTTACAGAGGGATAGTCACTCTTCACTGGTAGTTTGTTCACATAGCTGTAGGTCTTGTCCTTTTGGATGGGGCAGTTGATTCCACACTTACAACCATCGGACTCAGGAATGGCATAGGGAACTGGGACGCCCAACACGATGCCATGCACCACAGCCACACTAGTCTGAGACTGAGTAGCTAAGGAGGGGGAAACACAGAGAATGAAGGAAATAGTTTATTTCCAAGCTCTAAATAAAAAATTCAGATATGTAGTGAAGCAACTGCACGATTGTAGCAACTCATGAAGTCTCTGACTTCTGTGGTCTGGTTCTCTGTAGTTATGCTCAGTATCTCTGTGCATGCTATAGAGTAAGTATTCACTCCGAGAATTGAAGAATCACTAAGTTAAAGGAGCCTGAGGGGAAGGAATCAGCAGTGGTTGTTCTCAGTCCTGATTACAACCTGTTTTTCACCATCTTCCACAGTCTTAGGTGAATCAGAGCTACCTGGACAAATAATCCAGCAAGGTAAGAGATTCTGAGCAGTAAACTTTCTATTTACTATCTACATCAGCTTCTACATCTTTGGTATCTTGGAATTTTGGACAGGTCTGGGGATGCACAAATACTGTGCCCAAAGGATTCCAAATAAGGATAAAAGTGAAGGCAATATGAAGGCATTTCTGGAGAAATGTCATGGGCTATTTCAATAGAAAACAATGTAACCCTTTAGAAACTGGTAAAATTAGAAGGAGGTGACTTTCTTGCTAACCTCTGCCCTCTGCCCTCTGCCCATATCATGCAACAGGCAGGAAGAATGAATATGGCAACATTAGGACAACCAGAGTTAGGAGGTGTGAGGGGCTTCTGGAGATCCAGAGTACTGGTTCTGTTTCCTTCTGTTTGGGTTGGGAATGACTTGTTTAGAAAATACTTTATGGCTTGGAACATAGAGCATTGGGATGCAGAGAAAACAACTTTAGACTTAAGAACAAGAGATGACAGGAAGTTTGAGATTTCTTATTAGACTGCCAAATATAGTTCCATAGGATAGAAAATGAGGCGAAAATTCAAGGTAGATGCCTTTTCTAGAAAGAAAGAATTTCCATTTATCTAGATTATTGCACTCTGAAGGTGATGGATGTGGTACAACAAAGTTAACAAGTTTCAGTAATATTCAAGTACAGGAAGCAAGCTTAGGTTTACTGATTGCTTCTTGGGTCCACACTTGGGATCTCTAAAATTCAGAGTCTGTTAAATATTAATTGCACCTTTGTTTTCAGGCAGGGCAAGGATTCAACAACTGGAAGATATATTGTTTGCAAAAACATTTTGGAGAAATTCCAAAGTCTACAGAACTGGGTCTGTACTAAAACTGTAGCCTGTTGCTTAAAAAAACTAACATGACGCCTGCTGTGTAATATGAACCAAAACAGACAGAAAAAACCCCATAGGTTTCTAGACTGAAAAACCCATGAACACAAGCAAATCTTCCTGTTTGCTTAAAGGGAGTCTGGAAGCTATAAACTTAGGGCAAAAGAAATACGGAACTCAGTACAAGAAGGATGTCTAAAGGCACAGATCGAGTTTTGCAGAAGTTGGGAGGGAGATCACAGAATTCCCACTATTCCCCTTCTCTACATATGCATGCTTATTTGAACACTTGATACTGATATAACGTTTTAAGATGAATCTTGAAGGATAGAGCCGCTTTTACTCACTGCTGGTGAAGGTAGCATTGACACTGTAAGACTGTCCTTTGCGCAGTTTGCAAGGCTGAACGGGGCATGGAGTCACATTTAATTCCTTTATAACTCCAACCTCAGAACCTGTGAAAGAAGAGAAATGAATTGGAATAGTAGGGAAAACAAACCATCCAGGCAAAGGGAAGGTTCTTTCCTCTTCTCAATTAGGGTAAGCTTGTTCTCCCTGACAGCTTTCTTGGGAAGGAATCTTTAAGAGAATGCCCAATTAAAAGTCAGAATCTGGATTCACCCTACACTTAAAATCATACTCTTTAAATCAAGTGAAAGGGGCAAATTGGTTTTTTAGCCAAGAAAAATTTGATCTTTTTCATAGTAAATAGCCAGAAACTTCAGAAACTGCTTTCATTCTTTTTTTTTTTTTTTTTTTTAAAAAGATTTATTTATTTGTGCTTACAGAACTGGGGTACAGGCCAGTGGCGCAAGGGCGATGAGAGGATTCACCACAGACAGAGTGGGGAGCAGAATGGGCAGATCGACGAAGTACACTGCTGAGGGGAGCAGCCGGCGGGTCAGGAGAGGTCTGCGGGTCAGGAGAGGTCTGCCGTGCCATGTGGTCACCCCCAGGGCAGGTGAAGATAGAAGTCATGCTGAAGTGGCTTCCGATTCTCAGTGCTGTGCTTTAACCCGTTGCGCCACCAGGGAGGGCCTGCTTTTCATTCTTAAGGATAAAGGTGTGGCAGTTCAAACTTAAACTTGAAAATGTTTGCCTTAATTAAAGTATACCCATTTCCTTTTCATTTCATAGCAAATAGATAAGCATATAAATTTGATAAAGTTGTCATTATGGGAAAAACTGTACTTAAAAAAATAGCTGGAAGTCGAGACAGAACAAGAAACCACAAGAAGGCAGGTCAGAAACAAGTTAAATCATTTTCCAACCCATGCTCTATAAGAGCAAATGCTGGCTTTGTTATTTCTGTTTGGAAGGTCTGCTAACTCTTTTAACAGACAGAAGCAGTTTAACATTCCTGGCTCCAGGAGTTTTAATACCAGAGTATTTCTCTTTGACCCTATGGAAATTGCACCTTGGGTAGGTTACATGTGAGGCATCTGACGAAAAACCTCACAACAGGCTTTATAATTGTTTTAAGAAAATAGGAGAGTAGAGGGCCCTCCCTGGTGGCACCATGGGTTAAAGCGCAGCACTATGCCAATCTGATACCAATGCAGCATGAGTTTGATCCCCTACAAGGGAGCTGACCCATGTGGTACAGCAGACCTCTCCTGACCTGCCTGCTGCTCCCCTCAGCAGTATATTTCAGTCAAATCTGCCTGTTCTGCTCCCCACTCTGTTTTTGGTGAATCCTCTCACTCCCCTGCACCTCTGGCACAGCTGTACCCCAGTTCTTGCATGCATAAAAAAAAATTTTTTTACAAAAGTAAACAGAAGAGCAGAAAGATTCCTGTGGTAAGTTCAAGGTCACTGCTTAGAATAGGCAGAACCAGGACTCAATGAGTAGGCCTGATTTGGAAGCCATTGTAAGTGGAGCTTGCAGGAAGCTTGAAATAGCCACAGTAATGAAGGGAAGGAGACGCCAAGGAGAAAATTCCAGAGAACTCCTGGAAGATCCTAGGTGAAGATCCAGGCTCAAACCCAAGATCCTAGGTGAAGATCCAGGCTCAAACCCAACCACAGCTTTTCAGTTCTGTTGTAGCAGCATCACCTTGACCCTTACTACTATCTTCTTTCTAGCCTAAAGGTTGAACCCTGACATCCTTGTCAATTTTCAGATACGAAAAAGCGATTTCCTTCTGATTTTATCCAAAACTCCTCCCAAACTCCTGGTTAACACTTGGCCCAGCAGTTTGTCTTCTTGAAAGTTCTTCTTTCTTTCACCCCAACCAGATATCCTACATAAATAAAGAAAATGCTGGCTTTTGATATTAAGCTGATTCAGAAGTCCACTCAGTTGATTAAATGGACTGTGGAATTTAAAAGGAACTACTATCTTAACAGAAGAGTGACCCTAAACAGAGGAACCACCTACCACCCCTGAAATGGGAACCACACAACAACTACTTCTCAGTTTTTGTCCTCCCCACCCCCGCCACCCAGGGTTATTTGTCTTGTTCTTTGAGGGAAGATGTCTAAGAGGTATTGTTATGAGTCATGAACTGGTTTGGCTTGAAAAATAATAAGCAGTACCTTAAATATTCATTGTCATTAGGACCTTGGCTTTGTTTCCCGCCCCCCCGCCCCCCCCAAGAATCAAAGAAATGAAGAAGAGGACAGAGGTTAAGGTCTCTATGTTTCTGATACAAGCTAAAGGCCTAAATTAAACTTCAATCCAAGTAGGTCTGGTTCACATATTCAAGATGACCACAGGTACCAGTTACATCAAGGAACCTGCTCCAGGTTGCTTCCCTTTGGAAGTACTTGGCCTGGCTCTATATCAATGCTGGGAGTAATATACTCTCAAATATTGCGTATGTCTAAACAATATGGTCCTATGGGGAAGTAGAACTAATCTGACTTTCCAGTGTTGTTTCTAAGCAGTTTCAAAAATTGATTTATGACTCACAAACTAGGTTTAGCTCAGGAGTTATCTAATAGAAAAGCAAATCACTAAGGAATAACACTAGATGTTGCTTATTCATCTTTGCAATAATACTGTTTAAAATGAATGAGCTGAAAATTTTATTTTTGGGTAAAGGGGAATTAAACAATTGTTAAATAATATAGCCAACTCTCTTGCCCCCTGTCCTGAGAGGCTATTCAGGGGAAATCACCCCCACTCCCCCTCCATCCACACAGGATTTTAAAGCCAAACAGTGGAACAAGGGAGCCTAGAGTTTCAGTGCTATTTTTTCCATTTGGAAACTTGAGACTAGGTACTGATCTGCTACTTCTAAACTGCCCCTGGGGCTCTTGCTCATCTTTCAGTCTTCGCCAGAAATCTCTCCAAATCAGAAATCTCTCCAAACTTTGATTAGTCCTACCAAAGAGAACAATTTTAAACATGCATTTGCCTACTTTAGAAACCCCTTTTCTTGAAAATAAGTGTTTTGAGGCAAAGTGTGTCTTTTTTGGTTGTTCCAGTTTGAAAAGGACAAAGTGCTGTTGTTCACAATGCACGCTTGACCAAAAAGGCTGATTAAGAATAAATCCAGGCTCCCGAAACTGGACAATTGAATGGGAGCAAATCCAAGAGTTCACAATGCCTATAAGGCAGAAAGCTTGAGCTGAGCCGTTCCGCCATCTCTGTGGACCCGAAGCCCCAGTTTGACATCTCACTGGCTCCACTACTTACAGTGCAACCTTAGGCAATACTTTTTAAAAACAATTTACTTCCTTACATCTTTTTTTTTTTTTGGTATAATGTTTGATTGGTCTCTTTCAGATCAAAGCAATATACTTAACCTTGCTAGAGATAGTAATATCTATCTGGTAGGGTAGGTGAGCTATCAGAGCCAGGTATTAGATAAGTGTTGGAACACAGTAATGCTATGTAATTGCTTACTACTATTATCATCATATCATAATTCAGTTGTTGCATTTACTCTGGGACAAGTGCCCCTTGGTGATTAGCAAGTTCCCTTGTGAAACAAAAGGTGGATCTTTTACCTCAAATATATTTTGTGGACAGAAATGATAGATCCAGCTAATAAGATGGCCTCTTTAAGCCTTAAAAGTAGAACACATGAGGCCCTCCCTGGTGGCGCAGCGGGTTGAAGCACAGCACAAAGAAGCTTAGGCCACTTCCGCATGAGTTCAATTCCTGCCTGCCCCGGAGATGATCCACATGGCGAGGCAGACCTCTCCTGGCCCGCCCGCTGCTCCCCTCAGCGGTGTACTTTGTGGATCTGCCTGTTCTGCTCCCCACTCTGTTTCTGGTGAATCCTCTCACCCTCCGCATCTCTGACCTGTACCCCAGTTCTGTACGAATAAATAAATAAATCTTTAAAAAAAAAAGTTGAACACATGAAGTTGAGAGCATATTTTATCTGCTTTGCAGGCTCCACGTGAACTCAGTGCCGCAGAACATGGACTGAGAGGCACAAGGAGAGGCATTTGGCATTTCAGCCTGTACTTGTACTTGGGGGGAACAGTTTCATCATACTGACCAACATACCTCCAGTTAGATCTGTATGGAATGCTGGGTGATCTCTGATACCCAGCTCGCTTCTCCATCAGGGCAAAGTTCTCAAACTATACACCCAAGATTCTCTTCTCTAAGCACTGTCTTTCACTTTGCCCAATCTTCTGTGAACGGGGAAAAAAAATCCGGAACTCTAATCTACAACTTACTGGAAGTCAGTGCTTATGCTAAAGCTTTCAATGTCCTTATTCCACTCGGTCCTTTGAGAGTCACATGATCTAATAGAAACTGAGTAAAAGACTCTTCATCCAGTTCTTTTCATTGTTGAGAAGAGGTTCTTGGGCTTCCAAAGTCATTAGAACACTCTTAACGTTAATCTGCAAAAACTGCAAAACTAGTTTGCTTGGCCCCATTTCTCACCTGAGGAAATGCCACCTCAGTAGAGTGTGTTTTGAGAGGAACTCAAAAACCTTTTGATGTGGTCACTGAAGATTTTACATTGTATTTCCCAAGTCGAAACTAAACTGAAAATCTGCAAGTGAAGTCTTCCTTAAGAAGTCTTTCTATAGGGGGAGACCTGATTTTTTCAAGAGAGTAGAACAATTCCTAGATTTATTTTTTTATTAAAAAAATGTTAATGTTACTGAAATCCAGAGTGGATAACAAACACCCTCTAATTTCCTACCACTCACTAGCTGTGAAATGTTGGACAAGCTATTCTATGGGCCTCAGTTTCCTCACCTATAAAAGATTGTGAGGATAGAATGAGGTAATAGTCTTCATCCAGATGTTGGATATTAAGTTCAGTGGCGCTTAAGGCAGTAATTTGAGGTAATAATAGCATCTTTTTGAGCAGCCTTTGTTAAGTAGTAAGGTCAGCCTTCTTATCACTTAATCAGATAGATTCCCCCAACCCCTAGCAATTTTGCCTCAACATGAATTTTGGTCAGAGTGGGGAGAGTATTTATTCCCTCATTTACTTTTACAGCAAATACTTATTGAGCAGTTACTGCTATCTGGGCATTGGATAAAAGGAGCAAACCTTTACTGTTTCCTATTCTGTTGTGTAACCCCTGGAATTCAGTGAATGGACTAGCGATCTCCCAAGTTTTCTTCCAGCTTACAAATTTTTATAAAATCAATTTCATGCCACTTTTATTGATCCCTACACCTCTCCACTTCAGAAATGTTCTGCTGGAACAGTGAATTCTATACCCTTGACTGAATGGACTTAGAATTTCTACCCGCTTAGTGTTTCTCAACAAAGGTTCCAAGCTGCAGCGTGGAGGGGAGGTTTTGTGTCACAGGCAGTCACTAGGAACACGAGTTTTATAGGAGGAAAAACTGAATCACAAAACCCCATAGTGCAAGACAAGCCCTAATTTTAGGATAAATCACGAAAAAGAAAACTTTTGACTTATTAGAAAAAGAACAACTAAAAAGAAAAGTAAACGGAGTGGTGAGGAAGAGTCATTCAAGATAACAAGACATAAAAAAAGACAAGTGACCCTTCCCTCCCACCCCCTCCCAGCCGTGCTGGACAAGGAGCTTCGCTCGTCTGTCTGCCTTACAAACTTTAGGAAAGTCCTGCAAGAAAGGCTCACTTCCAGAAGTGTCCAGGGACCCCGAACGTTCCCAAAAGACAAACTTAGGAGCGGTGGGTTTCTCCTGGGCCGGCACCTGCTCCCCAGCCCCAGGCCACTTCGCGCGGGTTCGGGGTCGAGCCCGCTGAACCCACCCAACCGAGCGCGGGGTCTCAGCCCCGGGTTCCAGCGGGGGCTCCCAGGGCGCGGGACTGAGGGCGGGCCTGGTGCTTACCGCAGTCCTTGAAACGCACCGGCTCAGCCAGGGCGCAGGCACTGAGCGCCAGGAGCAGGAACGCGGCGACCAGGAAACGCATCGCAGCAGTGGAGGATCCAAGCGCGAGGGCGAAGTGGCCACCGCGGTCACAAGATAGGCTTGGTCGGGCGGGCCCGGGGAGGAGTCCAGTCAGGCGACCGGTGCCAGCGACCAGGCTGAACCCCGCCCCCGCCCGCCCCTGCCCCCTTCCCGCGAGCCAGAGTAGGCTCGGCCCGGCCCAGACTCCCGCTATCTCCGCCCCCCAGGCCCGCTCAGCAGCGAGGACCCACCTCCGCCCCGCCCCACCTCCGCTCCGCCCCGCTCCTCTCTTCAGCGCTCCGCCCGGGCTTTGTTGGTGCGTCTTCTCTTCCGCCATGGGAGCATTTCTAGCCAATCAAACCTCTTCTTTTTTCGCACCATCCAATAATGTGCTCGGAGGGGCGGGGTTTGAATGAGTCCCGCCTCCCAAAGGCTAGGCGGGGCTGAGAAGTACGGGCGGTGCTAGGGGAGGGGACTGTGGAGGAAGATGGCGGCCGCCCGGGGACTGTCCCTAGCGGCCGCTGCCCTGAGAGCGGTCACCCCCTGGCAGAGGGGCAGGTACCAAGCCTAGACGGGCACTCGGGAAGGGTGTTAAGTTCCGCGCTGCCAAGACGAAAGGGAAACTAAGGTTCGCGGGGGAGGGGAGGGTTTGGCGTGAGGCTGTCCAGCCCGAGGTCATCAGGTTTGACTTGAAGCTGTCCAGGCGGGGTTCACCAAGACCCCTTCTGCTCCCGGGTTCACCCTCCTCCCGTGCGCTGCAGGCTCTTTGCGGCTTCCCTGCGACCTCAGGCGAATCGGGAAGCATCGTCCTCTAGCCCCGAGGCTGGCGAAGGACAGATCCAGCTTACGGAAAGCTGTGTCCAGGTAGGCGGCCACACGTGGGGTGGCGGTGCCAGCCTCTGCCCGCTTGAGGACTCTGAGGTCAGAGACTGCCCCTTCACCCACTCTTCTTCCTCCCCTTGCCCAGCCTTCTTGATATCCCTTCCTGCGTTTCAGAGGCTTCTGGAAATCACCGAAGGGTCAGAATTTCTCAGGCTGGAGGTGGAGGGAGGTGGATGCTCCGGATTCCAATACAAATTTTCTCTGGATACAGTTGTCAACCCGGACGACAGGCAAGGAGGAAGGGGATGGTGCTTGGAAGATGTTCGGGAGGGTTATAAGTGCCTCCAGTTGAAGGTGCACTTCATTCTAAATTTAAAAGGTGTGTCCAGGATGCTTCCACCATTCTTCTCACACAGTGGGGGTACCTTGGGGGAAGATTTGTTTACTTGATTTAAAGTAAGTTATAGGAGGAAAATGGGCCTGCCTAGGTCCATAGGGTAATCAGTGGAGAGTCAGGCAGGACTCATCCCAGGCTAATATCCCTAAACATTTCATCATCCCCCTGAATCTTTTTTGCCTTAAAGAAACTCAGCCCCTTTTAGAGGTGATTTGGTCATTTACTTCTTCTGTACTTCAGAAAACAGAGGGTACACATCTCGGGGCTCAGCTGTTGACATGTTTTTGATGTTTGTGATATTCATTAACGCCTTCCTCCTGTCTTTTCAGGGTATTTGAACAGGGTGGGGCAAGAGTGGTGGTTGACTCTGATAGCTTGGCCTTCGTCAAAGGGTCCCAGGTGGACTTCAGCCAGGAACTGATCCGAAGCTCATTTCAAGTGTTGAACAATCCTCAAGCACAGCAAGGCTGCTCCTGTGGGTCATCCTTCTCTGTCAAACTTTGATGCCATGACAAGTGACCCAGAGAGTGCCACCATTTGTACCAACTTGAGGAACCTCAAACTAGTAGAATTCTAGAGGTTTCTTGTAATCATGTCCCTCTCAATTTTATTTCCTCGGTCCAGAGGTGTTGTGTTTTGCCACTATTATTCCCAGAATATGAAGTTAAAACTGTGACTTTGATTAAATGCCGCTGCCCATCCACGCCCTCCCCTATTCTAAGTCCTACTTCTTAGATGCTGTTTGTCAGATTTAGTAACTAGTATAGTCTTCATAAAGTCTCCAGGATTCCAAAATTTGAGTTGCTTCTCTGGCCTTCAGAGCTGCTTGTACATATGTGGATAGCTATGCATAAAAGCCTCATTTTAAAGAAAGTCCTTATTTAATGTTTTTTGGACCCCCCACAATTAACTGAATTGCTTGAAAACGTGCCTCCATCCTCATACAGACCTTTCAAGATTGTGACCATGTAATGACTATCTTTCTAGATAGTCATGTTTTTAGTATCTGTGTTACTTAGAGTATAAAATAGTTCTGGTCTTAAGCATAGTGGGAAGTGGCCCCTTTGTTAGTATAGATAATAGATACTTACGGGTCTTCTTTTAGGTTTGCTTACCAGATAAAATTTAGAATATCCAGTTAAATTTGAATTTCAGGTAAACCACAAATAATTTTTTAGTTCAAATATATACCAAATATTGCATGAGACTTATTAAAGATTTTTTGCTACTTATCTGGTGTTCAAATTTCAATGTGTATTTTGATTTGTTAAATCTGGCAACATTAGGGTCACAGAAAGAAAGCTTTTTTGTGATACAACTCCAGTGAATTTTAAAGTACCCAATAGCACTTGAATAGGTGCTACAGAGCTAGAAATAGCTGTGGTATGTGTATGATAGTGCCTAGGGAACCAGAAATACATCGGCAGACAGTTAAAATACAGAAAAAAACACTACCACTATGACAAGTGACTTACAACCAAGTTGATTCTGGAAGAATCAATCGAGAACACTGGTTAAATCCATCCTTGCTCAAGAAATTAAAAGTTTGTTATAGCAAAAACTTGGTTTGAACATTTCTAGATGAAATTGAAACTAAGATCATTCCATAAAAGAATTTCCTTTTAAAAAATGGAAGCAGGGAGTGAAGAGAAAAGTATTTGGGACAGAAACTTACATTTTCGATATGGGAAAACCTGGGGCCTAGAGAAGACAAACCTGTTATGTGTACAATGTGTGCAAAGAAGAAAAGAAGGGGGCCCTCAGAATCCTGAGTGGATTTCCACAGGAAGAGGCAGGAGCAGCATACCATGGGAGCATATGTGTGTCACAGATATGCTCGAAGTTGCTGCTAGAACCTGGGGCTCGTATGATTTCTACTTTGTACTAAGTTCTTTTGTAACTAAAGTGCTGGGGCCAGGCTACCTGTCACTGTCGGAAGCCAACTGAACAGAGACAGAAATTGAACCTATAACAGGTACTTCATTATCAGAAAACCAGTGATCTAAGAGAATGGGGGTATTTTATCCCCCAAGCCATTCTAAGTTCTCACCTCCAGCTGGCTTTCTCCTCTGGAACTAAGCAGAACAGTTAACCCTAAACAGACATCCCACCACAGCTGTCCCTCAAATTCGGTGCCTGGTCCCCACTGCTGTTGTTCTTCAGTCATCATGACTCAGGTTATCCTGTTTCCGTGGGCCTAGGAAAGATGTCCTGTTTTCCTGATTGTTTCAGTGTTCAGCACTTCTTCAGGTGTCATTGGCTAGGACACTTACGACTTTCAGTTCAAAGAAAACATGAAATCACATAGTGTTTGCGTGTGGCCTATGCTTTGTATGTATGCACAGATTCTGATACTAGGAGTGGTGCCCTTCCCTGCCTCCCTGGCTGACACGAGCTATGCAACCTCTGTTGT